TATCTGGGTTGATATCTAGTTGGTCTGTCCTGTGTTCTGGTCTTGGGTTGTTATCTGATGTTATTGATTTTCTAACTGGAGGACTCCCGTTAGTATTTCTTGTAATTTTGGTTTGATTTTCTGCAAATTCCCTAAACCTCTTTCTATCTGGCAATGCCCTAATTTTGCCATCATATTTTAAAGACTGTTTTGCTGGATATATATATTTCTTGGCTGGTAATTTTTTTCCTTCAAGGCATTATATATGTCATCCCATTGCCTTCTTGCCTGCATGGTTTCTACTGAGTAGTCTGAGCTTATTCTTGATTCTCCTTTGTAGATGATTTTTCATTTATCCTTAGCCACTCTTAAAATTCTCTCTTTATCTTTGGTTTTGGCAAGTTTGATTATAATATGTCTTGGTGACTTTCTTTTGGGATCTACCTTATGTGGGGTTTGATTAGCATCTTAGATAGATATCTTCTCATCTTTCACGATATCAGGGACCTTTTCTGTCAACAAATCTTCAACAATTTTCTCCGTATTTTCTGTTATGCCCCCCCTGTTCTGGTACTCCAATAACTTGTAGGTTATTTGTCTTGATAGAGTCCCACATAATTCTTTGAGTTTCTTCATTTTTTTAAATTCTTTTATCTGGTTTTTCCTCAAAGAAGTTGGTGTCAAGTGTTTTCTCTTCAGTCTCACTAATTCTGACTTCTGTTACTCAATTATCCTCCTACGACTTTTTATTGAGTTGTCTAATTCTGAAATTTTGTTGTTAATCTGCTGGATTTCTGATTACTGTCTATGGATTCTTGCAGCCTATTAAATTTGTCATTATGCTCTTGAATAACCATCTTAAGTTCCTCTATTCTTTTGTCTGTGTGTTCTTTGGCTTTTTCTGAATTTTGCCTGATCTCCTTCCTGATATCCTGAAGAGTTCTCTATATTAATCTTTTATTCTACCTCCAGTAATTCCAAGGAATTTTCTTCCCCCAGCAAATTTATTGATTCTCTATTTTGGGAGCTTGCTGAAGCCATCATGGTCTTCCTCTTTATGTGGTTTGATATTGACTGTTGTCTCCAAGCCATCAATAAGTAATTATAATTTATTTATTTTATGTTTGCTTACTGTGTCTTAGCTTCTTGTTTTGTTTTGACATGTCCTAATAGGCTGCTTGTGTGAGCTAGTTTGATTGTTGATGCCTTTGAAGCTGTAATGTCCTGTCAACAGGTGGTTAGATCTGTTACTGGGTATGTGAGCCCAGGAGTCCGTTTACTTTTCTTGTATGGATTCAGCTCAGGTGTCTGCATAGTTAGTCACCAAGTGTGTGGTGCAGGCTCTCACCTACAGTCCTAGATGGGCAAGCGTGATTGGAGTAGACACAGGTATCTGGCTGCAGTAGAGGATCATGTGCTGAGCAACGAAGGGGGCTGATGGCTTCCCCTGAGTGTCTGGGAGGAACGTGTGTCCCTCTTCCCTACAGTGCATAAGTGAGTGAATTTTGCAGCCAGACTATGAGCACCCAGTGCTGTTGGCTGTAAGGACTGGGAGGCACCACTTATTCTTGGACCCCTGTTGCATGTGGCTAGCTGGTATGGGTGGAGCCACCAGTCCTCAGGCCCCTGATGTAGGTAGGTGAGGACACTGCATAATGGGCAGAGCAGTGTCAAATGTGACAAATCTGCCACTCCACCATGTAGCTGATACAGTGAAGTTAGGCTTCATGTATGTACCCTGTTGTACTGTGGTAATGAGGGCCTATGCTGTTGAAATGGGCCCTCACAGGTCTATGCAGGGGTGAAAGGCATTCAAAATCTGTGGACGCCTTATGCCTTTGCCTAGGCAAATGAGCTGTGCCTGCCCTGAGTTCCTGGTTTAGGGGAGCTGGAAGATTATTTTTTCCTGTTTGTTAATTTGTTCCCTCTCCAAGGCCAGGAAAATGGCTCAGGGCACTTGATGAGTCCTACTTCTGTCCCAGGGGAGGAGGCAATCGCTGAAGCCAGCTTGGGACCTGGTGCAGATCAGGGAGGGAGCAGGTAAATGGGAGAGAGGTTCTTCCCAAATGGGGTGGTTTTTGTTTAAACATTCCCCTTTTATAGGATATTGAGGTTGTTTCCAGTATTTTTTTTAAATTAATCAATTTTTTTATTATACTTTAGATGAAGGTTTACAGAACAAATAGTTTCTTATTAAACAGTTAGTACACAGATTGTTTTATGACAATTGTTAACAACCCCACGACATGTCAACACTGTCTCTTCTCAACCTTGGGTTCCCTATTACCAACTTTCCTGTCCCCTCCTGCCTTCTAGTGCTTGTCCCTGGACTGTTGTGCCCTATTAGTCTCATTTTGTTTTATGGGGCTATCTAATCTTTGGCTGAACAGTGAACCTCAGGAGTGACTTCATTACTGAGCTAAAAGGGTGTCCAGGGGCCATACTCTCGGGGTTTCTCCAGTCTCTTTCAGGCCAGTAAGTCTGGTCTTTTTTTGTGAGTTAGAATTTTGTTCTACATTTTTCTCCAGCTCTGGGACCCTCTGTTGTGATCCCTGACAGAGCAGTCGGTGGTGGTAGCTGGGCACCATCTAGTTGTACTAGACTCAGTCTGGTGGAGGCCATGGTAGTTATGGTCTATTAGTCCTTTGGACTAATATTTTCCTTGTATCTTGTTTTCTTCATTCTCCCTTGTTCCTGAAGGGGTGGAGGCCAGTGGAGTATCTTAGATGGCTACTCACAGGTTTTTAAGACCTTGTCATGGATTGAATTGTGTCCCCCCAAAATATCTGTCAACTTGGTTGGATCATGATTCCCAGTATTGTATGATTGTGTAATCTGATGTGATTTCCTTATGTGCTGTAAACTCTATCACCGTAGTGAGGTTATGTTGATGAGGTCTACAAGAATGGATAGTGTCTTAATCCAATCTCTTTTGAGATATAAAAGAGAGAAGCAAGCAGAGACACATGGGGACATCATACCACCAAGAAAGCAGTGCTGGCAGCAGAGTGCATCCTTTGGACCTGAGGTTCCTGCACAGAGAAGCTCCCAGACCAAGGGAAGATTGATGACATGGCCCTTCCACCAGAGCCGGCAGAGAAAGCGTTCCCCTGGAGCTGATGCCCTGAATTTGGACTTGTATCCTACTGGACTGTGAGAGAATAAACTTCTCTTTGCTAAAGCCATCCACTTGTGGTATTTCTGTTAGAGCAGCACTAGATGACTAAGACAGACCCCAAATGGGGTGTTTTTTGATCTGGGCAGTAAGTTAAATGCACATACTTATCTTCTGCCCATTGACTGCCACTTTTCACTGGCTCTATAGGCCTGAACAGATTCTCCACCACTCGGTCTCTCTAGACATGGAAAATGGGCCCCAAGTGCCACTGGTTATCTCACCACTTACCCCAACCATTCTGGCCCCCAGGGCACCAGCTCCCACCAGGTCAAGCCTGGCAACTCTTTGCTGCTTCTGAACCATCTGTCTCTCCTCCTGCTGCCCTGTCTGATTCCTCAACTTTCTCTTTGATATTCAGGGCTCGTAGATTGTTGTATATAATCGATTCACTTGTTTTTTCATGTCTTTGTTGTAAGAGGGATCACTGGAAGTGTCTGACTCCGCTGCTGTCTTGGCCCCGCCTCTGTGCCCATCCTCTTAAAATCTAGGCCTAGAACTGGCATAACATCACTTCCACTGTACTATACTGGTCAAGCACACCCACACTCAAAGGGAGGGGACAGAGATGCCACCACTTGAGAGGAGAATTTTTGTCAAAAAATTTGTGCCATTCTTTAATCCACCACAGCTTTGCTATTACAAAGTACAACTTCATGCCTTAATAAATGTTAATTATTGTCTTGGTGCCAGCTCCATGCCTTACCCAAGGCACCACCACTACCGGTTGCTGTTGAGTTGATTTTGACTCATGGTGACCCTATGTGTGTCAGAGTAGAACTGAGCTCCATAGAGTTTTCAATGGCTGAAATTTTGGAAGTAGGTCACCAGGCCATTTTTCTTACACACCTCTGGGTGGACTCAAACCTTGAACCTTTTTGTTAGCAGCTGTCTTAGCTGTCTAGTATGCTATAACAGCAATAACAGAAGTGGGTGGCTTTAACAAACAAATTTATTTTCTCACAGTTTAGGAGGCTAGAAGGCTGAATTCTGGGTGCTGGCTCTAGGGGAAAGCTTTCTGTCTGTTAACACTGGAGTAAGGTCCTGTCTCTTCAGCTTTTGCTCCTGGGCAATATTCATGTGGCTGGGCATCTCTCTTCCCCCATCTCTGCTAGCTCACTTGCTTGTTTAATCTCTTTTAAATCTCATTAATGTAACAAAGACAGCAACCAAGCATGTTAACCATTTGCACCACCCAGGGACTCCTTACCTCAGACAGATACTCATTAAATATTTAATATTTTGAAAGAAAACTCATTAAAACACAGATATTTCCTAAGAGAAACACTCCAGGAAAGTGATGCTGGATGTACATAGAGCATGGTGGAGTTGTAGAGGACAGACATTGGATTAGGTTGACGTGAGTTAAATCCCAACCTTTGCCACCCAGTTACTCTCTGTGTGACCTCTGTTGACCCACTTCACCTTTCTGAACCTTAAATTCCTCATAACATGGTCAAAATATTACCTGCCCAGCTGCATTGCTGTGAGCATTACAGGTAATATGTGTAAAGCTCTTGGCATAGTAACTGGTACATAATAGATCTTCAGCTTCTCTTAAGATGATATAACAAAGGCGTATGGAAAGTTTGGATTCCTTGCTTGTTTCTCTTGACAGGTCACATCGATTAGCATAAGTAATTGAAAGAGGGCTTACAACCCTTGTCTTTGGGAAAACAATGGGGGAAAGGGAAGGCCTCTACTTCTTGTTTCTTCAGATCTTCTCCTCTCTCCAGAGTGTCCCCTTCCAGAGGCTCTGTGCCCCTTACAGCTTGGGTTGGGAAGTCATTTTTCTCTGGGTGTTGAATGTGGCCTCCTTGTCAGACCTGTGGCTTTGCTTTCATAGATGTACGAGATCAAAGCAGATGGCAGCATTGCAAAGAAGTTCAATGAGATTCTGCAGAAGCTGAGCTCACCCCTGCAGCCCAGAGTCCCAGAGCACAGCAACAACAGGATGAAAAACCTCTCCTACCCATTTTCCAGGGAGAAAATGTACCTGTGAGTATTAAAGCTGCTGGGGTAGGGACGTGAGAAGGGATCTGTAGAAAAAAATCGGAGAACCATTCAGTACCTCAGCCCTGGGACTCACAAGTGGGTGTCCCAATGCCCTGGAAAGGGAGAACTAAATATGCTCTTATGATGAAATATTCCCTGTGCCTGCTTTGTGATTTCCCCTCCCCTTCAGGCATTTATCCAGTAGCTTATGGGAAAACCTGTAACTTTGACCATTTTGTATTGTGGATGGAGAATCAGGGAGCAGCTAACCATAAACTTTAATACTCTATAAGAAAATCTTCTATAGGGGTAGCATTCAGCCCAGTTCCCAGTCTAATATGGCTCCAACATAGTGTGATAAACCAGAGAGAAAGTGGATGAAGCTTCTGTGTTCCTGTAGTCTCAGCTGCTTACTCACACGAACCCTCCCATCTCTCTCTTCCCAGGGAAGAGGGAATACAAGCTCTTCACAAGAAATGGCCATTTGGGAAACATGTGGACAAGGGAGCCATGGTTGGGAATTTGGGTGATGCAGAGACTGAGCATTATGTAATTCTGCTTTAAGGCCTAATGAGAAAATAAGTAACTATCAGGAGTGATAAGAGAATTGAGACAGGCAGGGAAAGAATAAGACATGGAAAGGCGGAGAAGATATAAGGATATGTCCCTTTGGGACATGGCGTTCACGTAGTATTTCTGCTGTTTATTTGAGAATATCTCATACCCATCTTTTGCCATAGCTACTCATAGTGACCCTACAGAACAGAGTAGAGCTGCCCCATAGGGTTTCCAAGAAGCATCTGGTGGATTCGAACTGCCAACCTTTTGGTTAGCAGCTGTAGTAGCTCTTAACCACTATGGAAACCGTGGTGGCGTAGTGGAATCAACTCGACGACAACGGGTATAGGTATATATATCTTCGCCATGTTAGACAGTAATTCTATACACACACATATATGCCATTCCTTTTGCCTATAGTCCCTATTGAATCTTTACACCCTCAGACCTTGTGAGGTGGCCAGCCAACTATAACTATCCCTCTATTATAGACAGGAAACCAAGGTCCTGGGTTTGGCATGGGACAGGCATGTTAACCTCTGGTTTCCTGTACTTTCTGCCACGCTATGCTTCTTCCTTTCCCTGAGCCTGCATTCACGCCAGTGCTGGTATCTGAGGTGCCACCTCCCATATATCTCCATTCACGTAGCTTCTGCTGTCCTTCAGGTCCAGCTCATAAACACCTTTTGGAAGAATCTTTCTTTTTTTTTTTTTAATAATTTATTTTTTTAAAAATTGTACTTCAGGTGAAGGTTTACAGAACAAATAGTTTCTTATGAAACAGTAGTACACATATTGTTTTATGACATAGTAGTACACATATTGT